TACACACACACACACACACACACACACACACACACACACACATACACACACACACATACACACGAGCGCGCGCACGCCAGCCAGTAAAGACATGCGTAAGCGCCCACTCTAAGGCTACATAACCCGTGGTATCTCAACCAACATCCCGTAATACAATATATGCCCTTCTCATCTCACTGCGCGACCCTGCTGTTTTCACTTAAAACGCATGATTGAACGAATGAATCTTTTAGAACAAGTTAAATGAATAAACGGAGGAGTGGTCAGGTATATCTATTTGAAAATGCTGATGAATAAACGGACGAGTGGACGAATGTATCTATTTGAAAAGTTCGATGAATAAAGGAGGAAACACTGGGCGAAAAAAAAAGAGGTGTATTAAAATATTAATGTAATAGATTCTGTTCACGGGATGAATGGATGGATGGAAGAGTAGGAGATGAGGAGAGGAGAGGATGGGTTTAGATGAATACATGCGTCAGTCATTCATTTCCCAACTGCCTCCGCCATGCTTTGTGAATTACCCAACCCTAATGGACTCAACAGTAATTAAAATGATGTCATCAACGGGCATAATTACGGCTGACTGACTATTCCAGGGGCAACGTTTTAAAAAAATCTCTCCTCCGGTAATGGGGACAAATTGGTGCATGGGAGGCCCCCATGTAAAGACTGAAAAAGTGGGTGGTAGGCGGGTGCTTTGCTCTGGTGCGGTTTGCTTTTTCTGCCCCTGGCTCATTTGCCTTCAACTTTATCAGAGAGAGCTAGATGTACAAGGCCTTTATGTCTTTAGTTTTACTAATAGTTTTACTACACTTGCAACACAATTAGGTCATACAAGGGCCGAGGATTAGAGAGGTGTTACAAGACAGTAACAAACACAAAAAAGAAGGAGGGGCGATAAGGACGATAGATGTTTGATAGGAAAGAAGAAGCAGCCTTTAAGACAACTCAAGTGCTCCACAATCTGTGTTAATTGTCTTTTCCTGGTATTTTTGATCAGCGAGCGGCCCATAACGGCTTCTTCAAATCCTGCCTCCTCGTTTGGCTTTTGTTGTCATTCCAAGAAATTCTCAGAAGTCGTCTAAACAACCGCATGATAATTATGGATGTAAAATTGGAGGATTCCTAACTTCATATATTGTGAATTACTGTTGTTTTAGTAAGCGTTTTACGGCACTGACAACCCAATAAGGTGATCATATAAGTGCCGAAGATTACAGGTGATACTAGATAGTAACATAATAATAATAATAAATGACATTTATATAGCGCTCAACCCCGAATAAAGTACACAGGCTCTGAGCGCTTTACAATACAGTACAACGTACAACAGTAACATGAAACGTTGTGTTCTGACTAAAGAAAATTATTCCAAATATTCATCTTATTAATTTAAAAACAGAAACGACTTCAGCTGACAT